GACGCGCGCTCTTGTCCGCAGGGCGCCGAGGCAGCATGTCGGGGCCCGTGCCCAGCCGCGCCAGGGTCTACGCCGACGTCAACACCCAGAGGCCCCGCGAGTACTGGGACTACGAGTCGCACGTCGTGGAGTGGGGGTACGGCCCGGCCTGTGACACACCGCGGGGGACCGCGTGTGCGTGACAGGGCCCTGCTTGTCCCTGCTGCTGCCGGGCAGGAGGGAATTGCCACCTGCTCTGTCCTGCCCGCCCAGGGGCTGAACGAGGGGTGTGGAGGCTGCGAGCCCTGCAGAAACCCCGGGTCGTGTCACCCCGCCGGGGGCAGGGCTGCTGACACCCCGCTGAGGACGGTGTTGGCCGGCAGCTGCCTGTGCTCAGCCATGGCGCCGTTTTGCACTGGGGCTCGTGGGCAGCACAGGGTGATCGGGACCGGTGCCAGGTGGCAGAGGGGTTGGGAAGGCCCAAGGTGAAGCTCCTCGGGGGTCTTCTTTGGGGTCTCCCTGAGGAGGTGAGGCTGGGGAACCCGACATCCAGGCGGGCCTGTTTTCCTGGCGCGGACACTGGTCCCCTCCCCAGGGACCGTGGCGCCCTCCTTCCCGCTGGAGCGCCCACTTACCGGGTGCTGCTCCTTGCCGGGTGCTGCCAAGGACAGCTCCCTGGCCCCTCGGAGCTGCCCGGCGTTCCCAGCGGCACACTCTCCTCACTTGCTGCCCTCTCCCCCGTGTTCCCCACACAGCAACCAGGATGACTACCAGCTCGTGCGGAAACTCGGCCGCGGCAAGTACAGCGAGGTCTTCGAAGCCATCAACATCACCAACAACGAGAAGGTGGTGGTGAAAATCCTCAAGGTGGGTGCGTGATGCCCCGTGTGCCACGTTGCTCCTCGCCCCCTGCTCCGTTTCTCCCCCTCCTTCTCCTCGACCTGCTCCCTGCTGCCTTTGCAGCCGGTTTTGGATGATCTCAGCCCAGAGATGCCCGAGTAAAATGTTTCAGCCCTCCGACTTCCCTCCTGCTCCACGCGAAGCCGGGATCAGGGAAGCGGGACAAGGCCGTCACGTCCGTCCCAGGGAGGCAGGAGGGAGAACTGCGGTCGGCCTCGTACCGAAACGCAGGGCCCTCCATCCCCATCCTGCTCACCCAGCGCTGCTGCAGCGCCCGTGCTGGGTGTTGCTCCTCGCCGAGTGTTGCCCCTCGCTAGGTGTTGTGCCTCGCTGGGTGTTGTTCCTTGCCAGGTGTTGCTCCTCACTAGGTGTTGCCCCTCACTGAGTGTTGCTCCTCACTAGATGCTGCTCCTTGCCGGGTGTTGGTCCTTCCTGGGTGTTGATCTTCCTGGGTGTTGCTCCTCAGTGGGTGTTGTTCTTCGCCGGGTGTTGCTCCTCAGTGGGTGTTGTTCTTCGCCGGGTGCTGCCCCAGGCCGCTGCAGCTCCGTGGTGCCATGGGCTCCTGGCATTCTGGGGAAGAGCCCTTCTTTGGGCCTCCTGCAGGCCCTCATCTCCCCACTGGGCACAGGAGCCTCTTTGTGATCCAAGCTCGGAACCTCTGCGCTGGATTCCTGGAGTGCAGCTCCCTGCCCGAGGAGGGAGTGGCGAGCTGGGATCTGTCCCAGACCGTCAGGCCAGTGTCCCTCAAGGGCAAGTCCTTGCACGCCTGGTCTCTCAGGCTACCTTGCGGCTCCTTCCTGCCCTGAGCACGAGCACAGGGACATCCCACATCCTGGGAAGAGCAGGAGAGGGTTCCCTCGAGCTCCTGGAGTGCTCGTGGATGGCCCCGGTGCTCCCCTGGTCTCTCGTTGTGGCCCTGCACCCTGTTTGGGATCTTTTGGCAACCATCTCATTTCCGTGCGTCACTAAAATGTGTCCAACCTCAGCGTGCAAGGTGCACGAGTTACAAAACACGAGCACAGCCCTAGGAGTATTGTCCTTGCTAGAGCACAGGGATGGGGAAGGAGCCGACTGGGGAATGAGCCGGACGGAGACAGAAGCTGAGAGGAGTTTGGGGCAGTTTGTGAGCCCGGGAGCCCTGCGTGTCCGTGCAAAGGTCCCAGCGTGGTGTAGCTTGGCCATGGAGAGGCAGGAGGGACCTCGGGGACCTCTGTTCAGAGGGAGGAGGAGGAGGCTGAGATCAGCTTCAGCCTCCCCGAGCGAGGGAGGAAAACGGCGGCGCCCCAGAACGCGCTTCCTGGCTGGAGCTCTTGTTGTATCGAATCGCGCTTGTCTCGCTCAGCCGTTTCCAGGATTTCACCCCAACCTGGTGCTTCGGGAGGCTGAACTGACTCCTTGACGCTCAGAGCTCTCCTGGTGTCCTGGAATCTCCCAAGGGCCTCCCGCAGGCAGCGCGCTCCGTCCCGGGGAACGCGGAGCTGTTAGGCTGCAAGGTCACCGCGTGCTGCTCTCCGCGGGGGACCGGGCTGTGTTTCGGAGCGCGTTCCCTGCGCTCTGCCGCAGCGCTGGCCGGGGACCAGGGCACGCTGGCTGCATCGTGCCCTGCCCTTGAGCGCAGAGAACCCGCCTGCTCATCACAGTGTCCTCTGCCCTGGGCTGGTTCCCCTCGGTGCAAACGGCCCCTGCAGGGCTCAGGTGGGTCCTGCCTGGTGTTAACCCGCTTCCCCCTGCTTTGTAGCCTGTGAAAAAGAAGAAGATCAAGCGGGAGATCAAGATCCTGGAGAACCTCCGAGGCGGCCCCAATATCATCAGCCTGCTGGACATTGTGAAGGACCCCGTGGTAAGGACAGCTCCCTGGTGTCACCGGCACGGGATTGGCACGCTTGGCACCTGCCTGGCACCGAGGCCGGCCCGGCTGCCCCTCCGCAAGGCGCCGCTGGCACTAACGGGCACGAAAAGGAGCTGTTTGTGGCTGCCCTGGCAGCGTGGGCGGAGGACTCCGCATTCCCGGCTCCTTATCTCGTGCCTAAAAAAAGAACCGCTCCAGTGCCAGCGTCTCCGGCTGGGAACAGAGCAAGGGAAAAGGGCCTGGGGCCTCCTCCCAAATGCGTCGCCCTTCACCTCCCAGCTCGTGCGTCCCTGCTGCTCCAAGCAAAAACATCTCCGTGCTAAAAACCTGCCTCGTGGGCGACGTTCCCAGTGCACCGTTTTCTTTACGGCACTTGCTGCTCTCCTGGCTCGTATCCCAAGGCGGGTTTTGTTCCCGTTATCTGCACGGAAATGGGGTATCTCCCGGCTCAACGGGTTTCTAACCGGACGGGGTGTCTCAAGCGGGATGGCCAGGTTGTTCCTGCTCCTCTGGAGCACTTGGAAAGGCATTTTGGCCACAAAGGCAGAGATCTGGGAGCAGCCAAGTGGGAGCTTCCAGGGCGTTTCAAGTGCTCATGCCAACTCTGGCCAGAGGGGCTGGGGGCAGAGGGCTCCCGTGTCCCACACGCGAGATTTCAGAGCCCCTGGCATCCACGCCGCGAGGAGGACTGGGGGGAAGAGGAAGAGGAGGGTGGGCAGAGCACAGCCAAAACGCTGCGGAGCCCCCGAGCCGGCGCGCAGCATGGGGCGATGC